ATTTGCTCAGAGTGCATCTTGCAAGGCATTCATTCCCATCAGAGACCAATACAGATGTAATGAGAGGATTTAAATATACAAATATACACCTCACCCACCTCCCTCCCCCAGATTAATGCTCTAATTCACATGTTATTGCATTAGGGATTACAGTATTTCGTCGGTTAAATAAACAGGTAGATCATGACAAAACACACAAGCTAATCTCTGATTACATGTGGAACCAAACTGGAAATAAATAAAAACGTAACATTTATTTCTGCTCGACTTCACATCCTCTGATACAAAACTTTATATTATATCTATGAGTATTTTTTTCTGTGGGAATTTTATGCTCAGTTCTCACTGTGAGAGGCAGAAGTTTTCAGACTTAAACCCTTTTTACCTTCTGCAGCGGTTAGTGTGCTTAAGTCACCTGAATGGTTTAACACCTCCCCTCAATCCACCGTCTACATGTGAGGATCCGTCCCGGTTATACAACACCACTACGCCTGCAATCACGCAGCTCTAACAAGAGCGTGGATGATGAGTTATTATAGATGAACACTCATGATTGATCTCTCTAGAAAATATCTGCACATTTCTTTACACGAAGCACATGTAGACCAACAGCATTCCCAGTGGGAAGAGATGAGTACAGGATGTGATGGTGGCTCTCACACTGCTGAGCGTGTGACCCAAAACACACAAGGATCAGATGAGACACACACACACACACACACACACACACACACACACACACACACACACACACACACACACACACACACACACACACACACACACACACACACACACACACACACACACACACACACACCATATGTGCGGACTCTAATCACTTTTTTAACGAGTACCCTTCTGGCAGACTGCAGAATCACATATGCTCTGCTGAGAAATGAGGCCTCTGACTGGGGAACTTCTGGATTTATTTTCTTTAAAAATGACGACCGTGAAAAGTATCCCATCAAATGACCGTGGAATACGGGGACGGCCAAACGTTTCCAGAAAAGGGCCAAAAAATAACTCCTCATGGGGCCACAAAAATACCATTTTCTTTAGCAAAAAATAATTTTATAGTGAATATTTTTATTTGTACTTCTCAAAAAGGCCGAAAATGAACATATAGTAACAATCTGAATATAACAAATGTTAAGAAGCATCATCAACAGCCTGTTGGAGGACAAACTACTATCCCCAAAATGTGAGTGGGGGTCAAACAAAAACACCAAGGGCCACAAACGGTCTTCAGGTCATACTTTAGACATGCCTGATGTAAACACACACACACACACACACACACACACACACACACACACACACACACACGCACGCACGCACGCAAGCACGCACCTTGGAAAGATCACCTGTATATCGTTATTATGAGATTAATACAAATTCTACAAACTAAAAGTTAAATCAAGTCAGGATTTAATTAACTAAGTAGACGACACCCAGTTTCTGTAACAACAATACCAAAGAGAAGTGTGTGTGTGTGTGTGTGCGCGCACGTGCGTGCGAGTGTGGTGCGCGCGCGCATGTGTGTGTGTGTGTGTGTGTGTGTGTGTGTGTGTGTGTGTGTGTGTGTGTTTACAGCCCGGAACACTGTGTTCGTGTCTGGCTGCCAGGATACTGGTTGAACTGGTTATTTGGCACTTCGTATTTATTAGTTGTACTTCTCATCTGGAAAACATCCCTTCCCTCCACTCAGCCAGTCACCATGCTGTTAACCTGCCAGCTTTAAACTTTATTTTGCAGAGAAATGCGTAGATGGATGATTGAAATAACTTTAGAACCAGTGTCAAATATGTACCCGTCTCAATTAAGTTGCATTTTGCTCCAGGTTTAAAATATCCAAGCAGAACGCGTCAGAATGGTCTGTGTGCAGACTCAATCATCCCGTTTTAGTGATTTAACCAAATACCTTTTGGTTCTTAGACATTTGACCTTTAAGAATGTCTTCAAGAGCAAACTGCAGTTTTTTTTATTCATAAAAAAATTCATCCGCCCATTTTCATCCGCTTATCCGGAGTCGGGTCGGGGGGGCAGCAGCCTAAGTCGAGGGCCCAGGCTTCCCTCTCCCCAACCACTTGGGCCAGCTCTTCCGGGGGAAGCCCAAGGCGTTCCCTGGCCAGCTGAGAGACATAGTCCCTCCAACGTGTCCTGGGTCTACCTTTAGGTCTCCTCCCGGTTGAACGTGCCCGGAAAACGTCCAGGAGGCATCCTGACCAGATGCCCGAGCCACCTCAACTGGTTCTTCTCGATGTGGAAGAGCAGCGGGTCTACTCCGAGCCCCTCCCGGATGACTGAGCTTCTCACCCTATCTCTAAGGGAGAGTCCAGCCACTCTGCAGGGGAAACTCATTTCGGCTGCTTGTATCCGCGATCTCGTTCTTTCGGTCACTACCCAAAGCTCATGACCATAGGTGAGGGTAGGAACGTAGATCGACCGGTAAATCGAGAGATTCACCTTCTGGCTCAGCTCTCTCTTCACTACGACAGACCGGTACAACGCCCGCATCACTGCAGATGCAGCACCAATCCACCTATCGATGTCACGCTCCAGTTTTCCCTCACCCTGAGATACCTAAACTTCTCCACTTGAGGCAGGACCTCATCCCATAAAAAATGCTGTCCAAAAATACTTTAATTTATAAATATATTTATTTTATTTTACATAATGGCAGTTTTTCCAAGTAAAAAACACCATTTTCCCCCTTTTCCAAAATCTTTACCTCCGACGTAGAGACTGGGAGTTATAAGCTAGCCGAGTAGGTCATTTTCAGGTGCAGTGGTCGTGCTATCAAGTCAGTGTGTGTGTGTGTGTTCTCAAATTTTGAATTGTGTATATTTTTCTTAAAGAGAGAGAATCTGAACACACACACACACACACACACACACACACACACACACACACACACACACACACACACACACACACACACACACACACACACACACACACACCCAAGAGAAACGGCACGAGTGATTTTGATTTAAAAGGTCATTCAAATGTCTTGCAGAAGTAAACTACACTTAAATGTACCGACGGTAGGTCGTCTCTCTGATGATATTCTTGGACGGGACATGATGTTCACCAGGTGCGTAACCTACTCAACAGGAAACTCCTGGTTTATTTTTAAGCTGCGCCTCCACCCTGCTCTACTGTGGAGTACCCTAGAAAACACAACAGGAAGTCGATCACATTTACCGTCACTCGCTGCACCCAAAACCCCAAACCATGCATTAGATGATTTTCCATTATTTTTCTATTGCACAGTTAATAAAAACCAGAAAATCTCAAATAAATTCCTCAAAAAAGGTGATAAATTGTTACTGTAAGAGAATAAACACTACAGGCCTTCCATTTTGTGTAACACTGCTTTTATTGTGTTGGTTGGTTATGTTCTGGTGACGTGTAGAACTTGGGAGTGCAGGCTGCTGCCTGAGAGGTGGTTGGAGACGGAGTGTCTCCATGCTGCTTTGTTTTGGTCACTTATGTGCATGAGGCGAGTGGTGTTACGACTCTTCCTGGGGAGTTTGGCTCGTGTGCAAAAAGGAAGGGACAATAACGGGATTTAAAAGTTAAAATGATGATCAGCTTTATTTACAACTACAAATCATAAATCTTTCCATCCACTGGTTGGGAATAATAAACTAATTCTGCCTGAGGGGAATTAAAACAAAAGTACAAATAAGTAGGGATGTCCCACTGGGCAAAGATTACTGGGTTCTGGACCAAAATAAGGATCTCCAAAGGTCCAAACTCTGAACTGGGCGGTTAAACCAAACTCAAGGTGATATTTTAAACTAAACCGAAAACCCACGACACTCTAAATGTAATAAAAGGGAGATCTGCACCACAAAAAAGATGAACTCTAAACCAAAACGTAACAGCTTATCCCAACGCAAGAAGCTGTTAGCCAAAATGCTAACAGTAGCTTTACCAACGTTAAGTTCAAGTTACCAAGTTTAAATAAACCAAAAACACCCAGCAGCAAACAGACCAGCACGGGGGAAAGACTGCTAGCACCAAAACAGCTCTCCTAATGTCTGAAAGAAGCTCCTTTATGAAGGGAGAAACGCTCCCGGTGATGTTCTACATCTGTGATAGAGACGAAGCAGCGCATCTGACCCCGGAAATTGTTGTCCGTTGCCGGGAGACGAAGGCGGGCAAAACAGGAAAGGAATCTAGTAGCGGACGGACGTTGTTCCGGGTCTTCGGTATTTGGTGGAGATGTTAGTGAAGGCGGAGAAGAGGGCGAACTAGAGGAAAAACAGGCAGATTCCTCCTCTATTTACAAACTCCTGAGGATGCAACAAGTGGGCGCGGTGCGTCGACTACCGGATCTGACGTCGACGAATTTTTAGAATCGAGCCGTCGACGTCATCGAGGCTTCGCTACAGCCCTACTACTCAGATCAGATGTTTGATGAAGATAAACCAGAACCTTAACTCATTCACCGCCAGCTGTTTCCTGATCACTAACGGCCTTCGCTGCCAGCGTTTCTCACCGTTTTTACTGTTTTTTTAAGAGTCACAGAACGTTGCGCGCTAGCATGATGTCGATGCCAAAACAGCCAAAACAAAGCGGAGACTCACCTCTTACATCAGGAAGAAGCCGTGTGTTTCGAGCGTTATCCGTTCTTTCGTAATCCGTTGTCGAATTGTGATCGGCAGACGCTTTTCCGGTTCGCGCCTCACTTTTTTTACAGGAACGGCCCAAAACGATCTCCAATCACATGGATGTGTTGCTTCCTGATCATGTGATCTGTGACGTATGCGGATGAAGATCGGCTTCAGGGCTGAGATGTTTGTTCTCTCAGCGCGGGGGCTCGTTCCGATGCTCAAACAGTAAAAAAATGCAAATGACGACTTTAGTCGTCATCGGCAGTCAACGGTTGGATCTAAAATGACGACTTTAGTCGTCAATGGCAGTGAATGAGTTAAGTGTGAGATCAGTGTGTTGCAGAGCTACAGAAGTCATCAAATGCTTTTTACCTGATTAGAGCCATTCTGGCCGTTTCACGCTGCTCGGGGGGGCACGAAGACATGGATGAAGCCGGGTGTGTGGACGACAACTGGTAGGAAGGAAGATCCGGCGTCTGGATCGACGTTCCTTTTCCGTTTCGGAGGAGACGATTAGACTTGGAGCGGACATGATGAATGATGCTGTGGTTGCTACGACGATGAACCGTGCGGCCAACAGGTGCTGATCTCTTCAAGGTTTGATCACTTCTGGAACAAAAAAATCATGAGTTTTAATTTGTTTGAGGTTGAAATTTACTCACTTATATAATAAATATAATTTCCAGACTTCATATGATTAAATCCAGATGAGCTGGGCACAACCAAAGGGAGGAGAATGTGTTCCTCTCCTCGCAGCCATTAAATAAATTACAGCTTCATTCCCACCGTGTTATTATTTTACTACATGCTGTTATTATTACTCCATCACTGAGCGACAACACACCACACCTGGCTCCTACCTCATCACTGGGGGGGTGGTGTGTCAGTGATGCTCAGTGACGTGTCCTGCAAACCACACAGTCGCTCAGTTGGCAGGAGTCCAGTTTCAGGTTATGGAATTTTCTGCTGTGAGCGCATGAATGAGGCCGACATCAGGCAGACCTGTGTCACAAACGCAACGCAGAACAACGGCCCTGGAGAAATGTTCTGCACCGTCCTTCTCGTTTCGTCTACAAGTTCCCAAACAAATCTCTCCTGTCTGATCAAATGCATCCAAGACAAAAAGGTATGAAGAGCCGAGAAGAGCTGCCGTGCCGTCGTTTTGTGTTCATGCAGCAGCGTGATCCTCACGTCCAAGAAGGCAGCCCATCTCGGACGTGATCGGAGACCTCTTCAGGTTCGTCTTTGATGTTCGCCGCGACAGATTACACACGTCCATGCTCATCAGTAATAACTGTTGGTTTATTTAAAGCAGGTTTATAGTTTCACATGCAGAATAATGACATAAGCATATGTCTGCATGCAGATCCCAGGCTACGGGTTTATATTGGTTTAAAGAATTTTAAAAACGCGCCTACAAAGTCGAAAACAGACTATTTATCTGCTAATTACGTAGCTGAACAGGGATCACACTCTGATGGAATGGGACGGAAACAGGAAAAGTCAAATGTTTAAGGAGCAAGTCGCCCCCAAATCAACTTTTTTTTCTGATAAACTATATAAATGCGTGTCTAATCGTGCTGCAGACACGTGTCGTCAATAGTTTAGCACTTTAGTGCATTTTAGTTAAAATCTAAATTTTCTGCCTAAAATTGTCAGTGTTGTGCCGTTGTCAGGGAAAAACTCTGCACTGCAGTTGAATTTAAATCTGCCATCGCTATTGGCTAAGAGGTACCCTAGAACGTTAGGTGGTACCATATGATGTCACAATGTCGTTGTTAGCTTGTGTGTGTGTGTATTTGTTAGCGGCTCCACCCTCTCGGTCTGCTAGGCAACAGCATTTGTTGCATTTTTCCAAACAGGAAGTGGGATTTGAGTAAGAATCTGGTAGGGGGTGACTTGCTCTTTAAGTACCTAAACGACAGACATAGGAGCTCCATCTGATTTTATTGTACCGTAGTTATGAAATGCTAAAAGGAGCTAATTATTTACATAACCTGCCTGTATTTGCTGCTACAACAACCAGGAAGCAAAAACCTGTCAGAATGAATGCAAGTTTAACATCTAGCGTCTTAGCCGGCTTTTAGAAGTCTCAGTTTCATTTTTATGACGATTGAAATGAATTTCACGGACCTTCCGGAGCAAACTTCCCAGTTCCCGCCTGTAACTAATTTGCCACCTTAGTACAAAATCCTTTTTGGTGACCCCTGACGACCTACAGCATGGTTGAAATAACCTGATCCACTTGCCACAATGAGAAAAGCTGTAAGGAATGACAAGTATGCTCGAAACATGAGCGCAAACACGTGCACACATACACACAAAGGAGTGTATACACACACACACACACACCGGCGGACACAAAAGTGGCCGTTTTCTGCTGCGGGCAGGAAGAAAAACAACATTACATCGAGAGGATTAGAGGACTTTTGTGAAATTCTAAAAGCAGCTGGAAATGAGCCAGCTTCATAGTTTTATCCCCAAAAACACCCAAAACAAATACTTTCAGGAATTTGTGAATTGGGTTTTAAAGATGCTAGAAGTCTGCTGAGACAGCGTGTTAATGCCAACAGGAATGCATGTTTACATTCATGCCCATCCCTGCATGTGAGCTAAACCTGAGACAGACGCGTTCATGCACTGACTAGCATGCTGGAGCTCCTTTCATACATGTTATGGTTACATCCGAATGAATATTTAGGTTCATTTAGAAAAACCTTTCGTAAAAACCCAATAAAAACATTTAAAGCGCAAGTCACCTCCTACCAGATTCTTACTCAACTCCCACTTCCTGTTTGAAAAATGCAACAAATGCTGTTGCCTAGCAGACCGAGAGGGCGGAGCCGCTAACAATTACACACACACTCAGGCTAACAACGACATTGTGACATCATATGGTACCAGCTAACGTTCTAGGGTACCTCTTAGCCAATAGCGATGGCAGATTTAAATTCAACTGCAGAGTTTTTACCTGACAACGGCACAACACTGACAGTTTTAGGCAGAAAATTTAAATTTCAACTAAAATGCACTAAAGTGCAAAACTATTGACGACACGTGTCTGCAGCACGATTAGACACTCATTTATATAGTTTATCAGCAAAAAAAAAATGTTGATCTGGAGTGACTTAGTCTTTAAAGGTGCACTAGGAAATTTTTTTCTGGATAATTTTTGCCACGTTGCCTGAAAAGCTCTCCACATACCTATGGAAACCAATAAATCAAATATTTTGTCAAGAAAAGAAAGAATAACTTTAATCCCATCTTAAATGTACAACCCAGGTGAGTCACTATCCATCCATCAAACCGCTTCAATGACCGGCCTCACCCCCCGACCTTTAGGTTGTGTATTATCATGAAGTCACTTGTTTGAAGGGCAAGAAAAACATCTCATTAAGTTAATTTATGAACATTAAAGAATAAAAATACAGACTCTGACTGAAGATGATCTGGTGCCCACTGATCAGCAGATCTCCAGCGGTAAAACTCCTAATCTGAGATCTGATTTGTGACTAAATCAGATGCAAAGGGTGAATTCCAGGTTGAATCGCTGCAGGGAAAGGATTACATAGGGTGGGAATCCAAACCAACTATAGTGAGCCCAAAGAAAACCGGATAATGAAAACGGAGACGTCATAAATTATAACTCTTGCAATAAAGACGACTATAAAATGCTGAGAAAATGACTGATGGTATCAACGTTTAATGAGCGTGAACTTCAAGAAGGTTCCGCATATCTGACACACACACACACACACACACACACACACACACACACACACACACACACACACACACACACACACACACACACACACACACACACACACACACACACACACCTGTCTTTCTATCATAGTGAGGACCCTCTATTGACTTCCATTCATTTTTGTGACTCCACCATGCCTAACCCATACCCCAACCCCGGCCCTAACCAATGCTGATCTATTCCTAACCCTAACCTTAACTAAAACTTAATTCACACTATACCTCTAACTGGTATAGTAAGCTTCTAAAAAAAGTGAGGACCAAAAAAAAAATGTCCTCACTTTGTAGGGAAAATGGTCCTCAGTATGTAGTATGTACAAGAAACACACACACACACACACACACACACACACACACACACACACACACACACACACACACACACACACACACACACACACACACACACGGTTTACCGGAGTTATTTAAACTGGGTCCTCACCTTTCAGCTCCGCCTCCATCAGGAGACGCTTGGACAGCAACAGGAGTCGTAGCAACGCGACCACCAAGGCTTCTCTGCTGATTTTTCCATCTCACCTAAAAACAGAAACAAAGGAGATGACCAAAGCTGAAAAGTAAAATCTGAGATAACCGTCTGAAACCAAACCCCTGGTAACTCGTGTACACGTCCACAAGGCCTTCCCCTTCCAGGTCGTGAACACTTTCGGGGACTTCCATCTACGCAAGCTGAATTTTGTTTGTTATAATCAAGTTTTTGAAAGAATAGTTTTCACGGTACATTCATGCAGCGAAACCAGGCTTAGCATTCCTTTAAAGCTGTGGAAAACTTTATTAATCAGAACATCTGCAGCGGTCTCTGGTGGGAGAGCCATACTCGGAGCAACAAAAGTCCAGAAACATCTAACATGGACAGGTCTGCTGCAGAGGAGAGAAGAAGAAGAGACGATCTCTCTTAAAAATCACGAGGCGCTTCACACAAACAAAAAATTTAAATTATAAAAAATAATTTTGAAAATGATTAAACATATGTTTAAAATGAGCAAAAATAGACAGTTGTGACTAAAAAAATGTAAAGAAAGAGAGGGAAATCAGCGAATCCTGAGGAAGGTGGAATAGGTGGGGAGGGCAGAACAAAGAGAGGGTGAATGAGGTCACACAAAATCAGCCTGAACAGGTGAGTCTTCAGCTGCTCCTTAAAGGAGACCACTGAGTCCACTGATCTCAGGCTCAGGGGGAGAGAGGTCCAGAGTCTTTGGACCACAGAGCTGACCATGGCAGGACTTAGTCATATTTCCTGGTAATCTTATTTGGAAATCTCTCCTCTGATTGGCTAACAGCAACACGACTCTATAAATGAGTCTGTTTGCACTGCAAAGTTGATGTTTGATCCCCATAAACAACAAGCCTGGAGGAGTTCTGCTGTGTGGTTGAGTTGCTAATGCCAACGGTTAGCTTCTACTAGCCGAGGCGTTCCCTGCCGTTTCTGAAGGCTAAAACAACAACAAATGTCCCCATCGCGAGCCCGTACGGGTGAGACCCTAGCACACGTTCTTGTTAGTGGGTCATGTTAGATCATCTCTGATGTTTCCGACCCATTCAAGCCAAAGAGAAAAATAAAATCTAATTACTGGAGTAACTAAGTCACAAAAGACGAGGTTTACACAAAGCTCTTTCAGAAGACTCTGGAATTACCTGAGCTCGTGTTAACGGAGCTGAAGTCCAACGCCGAGACACGCGTCCAGATCTTCTCTGAGAGGACATCCCTGGTGTTTGTGGACTCTCGTCTTCAACTCCTGCTCGACTGAAAAGGTATCGCTGAGCTGTGCGCATCACTCGGGTCAATAAGCCAACAGCCCCTGGAACAGAATCAGTAGTGTAAACAAGTTTGTATTAAGCTCATTTAAATGAACCAAACAGCTTCTTAATACAAGGCCTTGAATTTCAGGTCCTAAAATAAATAAAATATGTTTATTTGGCTTCATAAATCAGCTGTACTGCATTAATAAACACATTTGGCTTTGAGAGTCGGAGATACTAAATTTTGCAGACTGGACAGATAAATTATCTATCTACTCCACTGAAATGTCTCCGTGGGGCCACGGCGCATGCACTTTGGTGTGTGAATGTGTCCTTGTTACACAAACTTGAATCTGTTATCAGAAGCTCGCCATATTTACTCGGGGAAGAATCTGTGCGTAGGCAAGCTGCGAACACAAAGACTCACTTGTACAATCTAACCCTGGTGTTTGTGAGAGAGCACGCTCGGGCTGCAGCCATATCTGATGTTTACATGCAGGAATCGTTTATTTCAATGCCTTCAGTAGTAAAAGTCTAATCTGATGATCGGACAAAAATCGAGTGCAGAAAACAGCCAAACTATGTATAGATATATCTATCTGTATCTCCATCTATCTATCTATACATCTATATATATGTATAGATGTATCCACCCACCCACCTACCTACCTACCTATCTCTATTATCTACTTACCTACCTACCTACCTATCTCTATTATCTACTTACCTACCTACCTACCTACCTATCTCTATTATCTACTTACCTACCTATCTCTATTATCTACTTACCTACCTACCTACCTATCTCTATTATCTACCTACCTACCTACCTATCTCTATTATCTACTTACCTACCTACCTACCTATCTCTATTATCTACCTACCTACCTACCTATCTCTATTATCTACTTACCTACCTACCTACCTATCTCTATTATCTACCTACCTACCTACCTACCTACCTCTATTATCTACCTACCTACCTACCTATCTCTATTATCTACCTACCTACCTATCTCTATTATCTACCTACCTACCTATCTCTATTATCTACCTACCTACCTACCTACCTACCTCTATTATCTACCTACCTACCTACCTATCTCTATTATCTACCTACCTACCTACCTACCTACATACATACATATATATATATATATCTGTATATATATGTATATGTATGTATTTATCTTAGTAATCTGGTAGCTGTGCCTCTCATGTTTATCAGCATCAGACGTCCAGACTCGCTACAGCCTTCTGAAGTTGCTCTTAGCACATCTGCATTCTTTAGTAAAAACCCAAAACAAAACTGTAGCAACAACATGCTGGTATATATGCAGTCAGACTCTGTTATCCTAATTCATCACATGAGAACATCCTTTTGTTGTCTCCATCGTGAGGAACTCTTTAAACTGGTCCGGTCTCATACGTGGTCACTACTGTGCCACAGAGAGCTGGTTTCTGTTCCGTCCCCGTCAGCAGTTTGTATACGAACAGATAATTCATCCCAAAGATTAAGAGCAGCTGCTGCAGGGGTGCAACCCACTTTATCTGGATTTAGGAGAAATTCAAGAGCATCTGGCTGGCTGAAAGGTTTCAGATAGACTACGATGATGCAGAAGATCTGAAAACTAAATTTAAATTCTAAAAACAACCCAAACAAATACATTTAAAACAGGAACTAATGGGAGAATGCAAATCATTGTTTATGAACCCTTTAATATGTCTGAATGGGCTTTAAAAAAAACATTTTTACCAGGGTGAGAATTTAGCGGTTTTTTAATTAGAAAAAAAAATAACATTAAAATGTTACCCCTTTGGGACCAAGTACCCCCAACTGGGGGCTGGAAAAGTTAAACATCATAATTATTTATGCCCCATATGAATAAATATCATCAGGCTGCACCTCCTGGGCTGGGCCTGGGCTACAAGACCATATAAAAAAATTTTAGCTGCTAAAAACGACTAAAACCACAATTAAATGAATCATGACAAACTGCTCTCCACAAAGAAAAGGACGAAAAACAAACCATAACTTTTTTACCGGCATGTGCTGTAGTTGGTAGAAAGCAGGCAGGCAGTAACTTTATCCATACGAACTTGATTACAGCAGGAGGGACAACACACAATGTTGATCCTGTCACCTTCAGCAGAACTTCCCCTGAACTCTACACTACACCTCTATTTATATTAGCAGTGCTCTGCTGCCACCTAGTGTTCAGTTCAGTACACAGCATCTATAATGTTCCATGTCCTTTTACATGTCATCAATAACACAAATACTAATATTTACACATCCCAACAAATCCCACAGTGGTTACCCTTATAATGAAACAGAGGAATCAAAGAGAACTTGTGGTTACAGAAATATACTGATTAAACTGTGGGTTGAGATTCTCATCTGTGCCCCAGACAAGCTGGTTCCCCAAGTCAGAGACTCTCTTTGTCAGCTTGCTTCTCACACCAAACCTTCTGTCAGGAATCTTGGCGTGACCTTTGACCCAGCTCTCACCCTGGATTCTCGTGTCAGTTCTCTTGTTCGCTCTTCCTTCTTCCATCTCAGGAACGTTGCTAAGCTGAGTCCAATTCTGTCCCACTCTGAACTTGAGACAGTTCTCCACACCTTCATCTCCTCACGCTTAGACTACTGTAACTCTCTTTTCACGTGTCTGAGCAGAACCTCCCTGAACCGTCTACAGGTGGTTCAGAACGCCTGTGCTCGGCTTCTGACCAAGTCCTCCAAACACACCCACATCACCCCGCTTCTCCTCCAGCTTCACTGGCTGCCAGTCAACTTCAGGGTTCATTTCAAGATCCTGGTTCTGGTCTATAGGGCCTTACATGGACAAGCACCATCTTACATTGGTGATCTTCTCAGTCCCTACACCCCCAGCAGGTCCCTGAGTGCCAGTGACCAAAGCACCAGGCTAAAGGTCAAAGGTGACAGATCATCTGCTGCTGTGGCCCCCAGACTCTGGACCTCTCTCCCCCTGAGCCTGAGATCAGTGGACTCAGTGGTCTCCTTTAAAAAGCAGCTGAAGACTCACTTGTTCAAGCTGGTTTTGGATGACCTTCTTCACCACCCTCTCTTTATTCTGCTCTCCCCACCTATTCCACCTTCCTCAGGATCCACTAATTTCCCTCTTTCCTATTCACTCTCTCTCTTTCTTTACATTTTTTAATCACAATAGTCTATTTTTGCTCACTCGAAACATTTTTAAATGATTTTCTAAATTATTTTTTCAATTTAAAATTTTTAGTTTTTGTAAAACGCCTCATGATTTTTATGTTGAGAGGCACTATAGAAAAGATCTTTTTTTTCTTCTTAGTCATCTGTGCCTCACGAACATAATTTTTTATTTAAAAAATTGCTTTGGTTTGAATTATCTTCAACGATTAAAATGCGATTAATCAAGATTAATTCATTAAAAAGCCTCTGATTTGACTAATTTCTTTTTTCCAGTCCCACCCTTAATTTTACATATTATGGTGCAAAACTATTTGGATTATGAGGATTTTCCAACAGCAGAGCTGTAACTGATAAACAGAGAGGCTTGTAGCACCAGCGTTTGAACAGGGCTTTGCTGTGTTGTTGAGCTTAATTGATTTAGTGCCACTGGCTTTCTGGTGTCAGCAGAGCACCTGTCAGCTCAAAGATGTGTGTGGAAAAAAAGAAACATGCTTTTACAATACCTAAAGTGACAGTGTGTAGTACCCCTGGCGAAATGGGCAGTACATACTTAAATCATTGCAAGCAAGCAGTATTTTTGTGTTGGAGTAAGACCTTACTAATGGATGCCCATTAGGGTCAAAAAGCCCTGGGGAGTGCAAACTTCAGCAAAACAACAAGCACATCAGACTCCCTTTCATCAATGGCAATGAGTGAAGAGGTAAATGTGTAAAAGAAAAATGTTTATTAGTGGTGAAAGTTTTGTAACCATTTGTTACAAACCATTAAATGTTTTTTGCTCTCATGGGCTTCCGTAGAAGACGGTTTCATAACATATAACAATAAAAATATGTTCTTAATACATGGGAGCGGGTCTAAGGCCCAATCCCAACACTAACACTTGCACCCTTACGACCTTTAATTGAGGCTAGGAGTGCGAGTGCATAGGGTGTCCCGATTCTCAAGTGCAGAAGTTGACCACACCCCCATTGCACCCTTAATCTGCACTTCACCTAAGTCCGCAGCAATGCAGACCTTGGCCAAAGGAATTACCCACAAGTCATTGCTGCAGGAGAAAAGGCTCAAGTTTGTTTTCTGAAAATATGTATTTTCTAATGAAATTAGTTCATTTTAGGCCGATTAATTGATGCTCTAAAACTTTTAGACAAGGCAGCAAGAAATGCAAATTAATTAAAAAAACGTTTGGCTGTTTGTTTAAAAGTTGTTAATAAAGGTTTTTGAAAAAAGTATCACAGCAACCAGAACCCTGGCATGCGTTGCGATCGATGAAGCAATGCTCCCCGTCTCAATTCTGCATTTATTTGCACACTTGTGAACTACGCACTCGAACCCTACTGCACACTTTCTCCCAGTGCACGTTGCTGAAGTCCGCTGGGCGCAGTGCGAGTGTTGAGATCGGGCCCAAGTCTCTGGGCGACGCCATGTTGGATGCCATGTTACCTTCTATGGAAGCCCGTGAGGACAAAATGCATTTACTGACTTGAAACAAATGGCTACGAAACCTTCACCATTAATAAACGATGTTTTACACATTTACCTCTTCACTTGTTGCCAGAGATGAAAGGGACCTTGCTGGAGGTTACACTCAGAGATTTTTGAGCCTAATGGACATCCGTTGGTAAGGTCTTACTTGAACACAGTGATTTAAGCATTTTCTGTCCCAGTCACCAGGAAAAATACACACTTTCACTTTAAACAACACACCTTTCTCTGTGGTCTTTTCCCCTTCAGATGACACCGTTGGATCATTTCTCTCATTCCCAGTTCCGATTTGGCTGGATGATGCGTCGTCCTGCTTTTCACACAGTTCTGCATCAAAAACAGAAAACATTTAGTTCACATCAGGGAGATTTCTGACTGAAGCTAAAACTGGTGTCTTTTAATGCACATCCAGTCCATTTTAACTGTACTGACTCTGTTCGTGTCACTAGGAAAGACTTGGAAGTGTGCAGGTTTGTGTCATGGTGGGGGGTGTAAACGTAATTTGTAAGAGCACACATCGGCGACTGAAGAAAAGCTCCAGGGATAAGACCTGCGGCTAACAGGAAGAGTTGAGGATAAAGAGCAGCGTCAGCTGGTCTGATACGAGCTCCCATCTTTGTTGTGGAGAGAACTTGGCTTCCCAGACACACCTTCCTCCTTCCTACAGCCCGTGGCCCTCACCCTCTTCCTCCCGCCTCCATCTCCTTCCTTCCCTCCCTGCGATCTGTCTCAATCACTGTCAGACATCAGTTAAGGAGAGGTTCCCTTCCACAGTCAGATTCAAAACACTGGCGAGCCTCAGCATGTCTGCAGATAAGCACAGAAAAACTAACAGGACAAAAACACGGGGCTTAAGCGTATCCAGCGTCTGAAAGAACACGGTACATAATTCAGCTATTGTGGGTCTGACAACACGTCCACCACTAGACTCTGCCCAAATACAAAACCTCATTCAATCTCTTTCAACTTCCATGAAACATAGTTGGTACAGAACAAGGAAAGCTGTAATGAAAGTTAACATTTAGGTTGTTGACGCACCTAAATGTCAATGAAAATATGAGAAAAATAAGTAAAAGTCAGGTCTGGTTATGCTTCTGTTTTCAGGGAGAAGATGCAGACAGACTGGATGCATTGGCGCAGGTGAGCTCACCTGCAGATTCCGTATGAGTCAGGTTTGTAATGAGTAGGACTGGATGAACGCGAGAACGTAGGAGTGATTTATGGTTTCAAGCAAAGCCTTGTGCTGACATCTCTTTGCACTAGGGTTGCCACCCACCAGGAAGAGCGTCATTCTCACAAGTTTGAGATGGATACGTTTGTTTTAACGGACATCGAATGTTTGTGAAGAAGACAATTCGTTTAATATTTGGAGGGAAGGATCATTGGTCCAGGGTTAAGGGACACGCTCTATTACGAGTTAGCTTCACTCAAAACTACGGACAATGCTTCCAGCCCTGCATTAGTCACCCAAAAATGAATGTCCACTCTAAAATACCTCCTGAATCTTATGCAGCCGGTAGGAAAAAAGTGTTTTTGGCAAATATCACTGAATGAGCACAAATTTGACAAAAACTTAAGTCCTGAAACTTATCACCCGCTCTTGCATAATCATATCAGGTTTTAGGTTTAAACCCATAAAGCTGATTGGGCTACGCCATTGGGAGGTTTCGTTTGGGCATCTTTACGTGATGTTCTGTTGGTCACCTACAGTCTTGACTGTGTTTGGAGCAGGCAGCATCACTCAGGGGCAGCAGTAGCTCAACAGGTAGAGCGGGTTGTCCAGCAATCGGAAGGTTTAAAGTTCGAACCCGGCTCCGGACAGAGAATTCTGCTGTAGTGTCCTTGGGCAAGACACTTACGCACATTGCCTGCTGGTGGTGGTCGGAGGGACCGGTGGCGCCTCTGCTCGGCAGCCTCGCCTCTGTCAGTGCGCCCCAGGGCAGCTGTGGCTACATCGTAGCTCATCACCATCACTGTGTGAATGTGTGTGTGAATGGATGAGTGATACACTGTAGTGTAAAGCACTTTGGGGTCCTTATTCTGAGAGGCGCTATACAAGTGCGGGTCATTTATCATTTATCATTTCAAGACGGCGGAGTCTCCAGAGACGGGGAAACGTCCTCCTACAGGACAGGTAGGTCACAAGCAAGCAGTTCACTCTTACTCAAATACACGGAGCTATGGGAGATCACACACAGTTGAGTCAATTGACCCTACAGTTTGGCCCAACATCTGGAAAAACAACTTAAGCAATCTGCTAATTTGTTTTAGCTACAGCAGCCATCTTGAATTAGGCAGACCACCAAGTTTCCAAAATCTGACTGTTTAAATATCCCAAACCTCATAAGTTACGAGGGCCAAACTTTTCATGAGCCGTTCACCTCCCACCCCCCGTGATCTGCTCTTCGTCAAAGATGATTGCTTTTTTATTCTAAGGCATCTGGGCATGACGAAGGTCACAGGATTAGCACTACAAGTCATTTGAAGCCATAATTCAATGGATGCTGGCTGGAGATCAAAGGAAACCTTTTAAATGATTTAATCTTGGATCCTGTTCAGCCACTGTAACCGGGCCAACACAAAGTAGGCTGTTGTTGAACTGCAGGTTTTGTGGTCACCCTGAACTGAGGTATGAGAAAGACGAGTGTCACTGGTTTACTCGGCTGAAGCAACAATAAAAACAAATGCTCAGTCGTGTTCTGAGTGCTCCGGGATGTCAGACTAAGCTATAAATACAGAATGACTTTAAAGTGGAGACAGTGTCACTCGACCAACCTGCTGAAACGGATCATTTTAAATATGTACGGCTAATTTCTGGACCTTCAGTAAAGCTTTGCTGAAAATACGGACCATTTTTTTTAAAGAAATGCTCACAGATAGTTAATCTTTTATAAAACCTGGTCAGTGAGCAAACGTTCAGCTTGAGTACAAACCGACGAGTGTTGCATCGTTCCATCTCTCTGCCGCGGGTGCCCACCTGAGCTGAAATCTAAAGAACAATCTCTTAAGAATTGGGTTGATGGAAGGTACAACAGTAGGCTAACCACAAAAGCTCTCATCACCTTTTAGCTGAAAAACAGAAGAAAACAGAAAAAACAAATTTGACCTTTGAGCTCAGGAAGTTGCTTAATGGTCCTTCTGGTAACCAAAAACATCTAAATGAAGTCGTTCATCCCCACAGCAATAACCACAACGCTTGTGCCTTAGGGTTCAGAATTAGGTTTTCACCCATTGAGACCTTTTCTGCCACAATTCCCAACATAAGTAACCAAGTAGCCACATAACTCAGTATAGAGAGAATATATTGTACCCCTTTATGGTTAAAAATAAGGCCATTTTTTAGTTTCTTGTTTTATTCTCGAGTCAGAAAAGGGTGGAATGCCTTCTCCAGGTCAGGGATGAGGTCCTGCCCCAAGTGAAGGAGTTAAGTATCTCAGGGTCTTGTTCACGAGTGAGGGAAAGATGGAGCGTGAGATCGACAGGTGGATTGGTGATGCGTCTGCAGTGATGCGGGCGTTGTACTGGTCTGTCGTAGTGGAGAGAGCTGAGCCAGAAGGAAAAGCTCTCAAGTTATTGGTCGATCTACATTCCTACCCTCACCTATGGTCACGAGCTTTGGGTAGTGACCGAAAGAACGAAATCGCAGACACAAGCGTTCGAAATTCGTTTTCTCTGCAGGGTGGCTGGGCTCTCCCTTAGAGATAGTGATCCGGGAGGGGCTCAGAGTAGACCAGCTGCTCCTTCACATAGAGAGGAGCCAGTTGAGGTGGCTCGGGCATCTTGTAAGGATACATCCTGGACGCCTCCCTGGTGAGGTTTTCTGAGCAAGTCCAACCGGGTCAAGGCCTAAAGGAAGACCCAGGACACGCTGGAGAGACTAAGTCTCACAGCTAGCCAGGGAACGCCTTAGGAATTCCCCAGGAGGAGCTGGTCCAAGTGGCTGGGGGGAATGAAGTCTGGGGCTCCCTGCTTAGCCTGCAGCCCATGCGACCAGACTACGGATAAGCAGCCGAAAATGGATGGATGTTTTATTCATAACTTCAAAATAACAGCAGCTCAGCACCACCAACAATCTGGGAAAAACCCATGAACAGCAGGTCAAAACTTCCAGAACCCAACCTGAAACCTCCTAAATGCTCTTTCCTCTCTGCTGTCAATACGGGACTCCAAAGCAACTAACATACGGCTCTACCAGCCGACAGAGGACAGGCTGCAATCACAAACAACAGGCTCACCACGTAAACATTTCCCCAACAAGAACAAAACCTGACTCCAAACAGAAAATGTAATGAATCATTCTGTCTGTTACAAGCAGCCTGGCTCTGGCTTCGCTTCCTGTTCTGCTGCTCCAAGCTGAGAATGCAGGATTCTTGCACAAAAAGGGGTTTGTGCAGAGGTGGACGGACGGTCGGGGACAGTTTGACAGAAGCATCAGGATCTAATCATTAAGAACGAGACATTCACAAATGACTGGATGAGGATTTATTCAGAATTTTACATTTGAGGTGATTGAAATCATTTGTTCTTTGGTGGAGAGTAGAGTTTATCTTATCTTGGTATTAAAGGTGCAATATGCAAGAATATAGTGAGAATTTCACAGTGAGAAAATCCCAAGAGTCTAATATTTCAGTCAATTTGGAAGGAAGGTTATACTGAAACTAATTTCATATCCAGTTGCTGTGGGGATTGTCAGTTTTTCTCCTCTCAAAACAAAGGAGGGACGTAACTACAGTTTACCATCAGTGAGTGTGTTTCCTGCGAGCTAATACTGCAGCGCCGAAAATTGTTATTTGACATCAGCTGGCAAAAAGCTTGAGTGTTGTTTAAAGTGGTCGCACTAACCAAGTTTTACCACAGGATGCCATTTTTACTTCATTTCCACATAATGCACCTTTAAAATTCCCAGGATAAAACCCCATGCACATAAACAGAGACCCTCACAAAGCATCACGACAAATCGATTAATAAAAGCTAAAAGATCAAAACATAGAGCAGAACACCAACACTTGGAAATGCCCGTCAGTAAGCTCAGCTTCAAGCGTTCCCTGTGACTCATGGATACAATGAGAAGGTATGAATGACAGAGGGTGGTTTTTGCCCCCTCTCTCCGAGAGTCAAGTTTCAGATGACAGAGCACTCTGCTGATTCCTCAATGTCCAGGAATTAATGCTGATGGCATGCAGCCTTTCCAAGGTTCAGTTTTAGTGTGTTTGAAGCGTTTTTTGTCCTCTGGGAGTTGGCGAAGCAACACATCTGTGGCTTGGATTTAAAAAGCTCTAATATGAGCCTTGGCTCAGCAGACCCAGTGGAACAAACTAATGCTGCTT